CTAAGAAGACCAAAAAAAAAAATGCATAGCTCAATAACTCACAGAAGGATTTCACTAGTGTTTTCTAATTTATAAAGTACTTTCACAAATATTGCTTGAGTTATTGAAAATAGTACCTGGAAAAAAACGGGATTGAATGTTCTTAATTCATGTCCATTAAATGCATTTATAATATGCAAACACAGTTGCTACAGCTGAATAATGGGGTAGGAAACAATCCCTACTCTAGGGAGCTTACATTCTACTAGAGATTTGGACAAGATACAATTCATTGCTCCTTTTCTAGATTTGTTTTTTTACACGATAGCTAAAATGTGTTTGTTATAGTCAGTAAATTGGGCCTGGGATTAGAACCCAAATCAGCCTCCTCCAAAGTCACATGCTTTCCTGTTTATTATGCCACCTGTATACACTGGCAAGTCCTGTTTCTGAATCTTCACTTGAAACACCCCCCCTGATCAGCCCTGTGCTTTTTTCCAACTCCTCCTGGACCTTGCACATCAGTCATCTCCTCCCTCTCCCACCCTCAGCTTCTCCATCTTTGCAGGTCCCTCTTTCGTCCAAGACTAAGAACTTACCCAAGTCTTTTTCATCCTTAGTTTCATTTCCTACATCTCCCACCACCCCCTGGCCCTGCCACACACACACTGGAACCTACCTTCTGCCATCATCACACACCTGAAACTGCGTCAGTAAGTCAGGGATTCTTAACCAACCAGCCCTAATATTAGATATAATTTATATGAACTAATTACCAGGCTCTGCACATATATTATCTCATTACTCCTCAGAAAACCTCATAAGATATTATGATATTTCACTTTTCCAGATGAGAAATTGGAGGCTCTGAAAGGCTATATGACCCTGATTTGCTCAGGATCAAATAGCAATTAAGTAGCAGAACTGGATTGGAATCAAGGTTGGGCTTACTGCCAAGCTCATGTTCCTGCCTCTCTGCTACAAGGTGCTCAGGATCACATAACAGTTAAGTAGCAGAGCTGGATTGGAATCAAGGTTGGGCTTAATGCCAAGCTCATGTTCCTGCCACTCTGCTACAAGGCCATCATTCAGCTCCCATCAATCCCTCTTTACCAGGGGCTCTCAGGGAGATTGGCTTGCTAAGCTAGATACCCGGTCACCAACAACAAAGAAGTCAAACATCTTCTTAGGGGAAAGAGGGTAAGATTTGAAGGCAAACATCTACTAGCCCATATCTTTAACCTACCTTTAGACCTCCTCTCCCTGAGTAGTCTAACTTTATCTGAAAGGTCACTTAGCCTAGGTGATGAAAGACACCTATAAAGTCCACCAAACCAGAAATAAGAAGAAAGGACAGAGCAAGCATGCTTCAATCAAACAATTCTCTTTAAGTTTCTCCACTGTCTCTTCCACCCTGGGAACATTTTCCTTTCTGACAACAGATCCAGTTGAGTAGAGAGATGCTGACTTGGCCAGAGACCAGATAGGATGCTCATTTTTTATTTTCAGTCATGCCAATGTCCTGTGTGCGACTCCCTGCACTCACTATGTCCCTGTGCATGTGCTCTGCAGGAGTGCAAAGAAATTTTATTGAAAAGGGTCTGCTCATAGTTGCATTGTTGTCACATGCAATGACCTTCATAAATAGCTTTGGGAAAGTCATTTGGGAAAGGGAATAACAGGTGGTTGATGGTATTTTTTTTCTCCTCCTTTATGGGATTGTACTCTGATTTGCTATACAAACTTGTGCAATTGCCTGGAAATGTGTTCACACATGTCTCCCAAATAAAAATAAGCAGGTCAACATCCCAGTGTTGTAATGTTCCAGACTGAGATCTGCTTGCATAATCCAGTAGAGCCATTTGTTCTTTTCTAATAGGGCAAATAGTGGAGGGCAGCAGGAAGCCAAGCAGAACCCTAAAGTGCTAAGGCAGAGAGAGGAGAGACAGAAGAGATAAGAGGCTGAGGAGGGTTAACATCAGCCTCCAAGTTAGCTTCCTATTCTTGGTGAACCTCCCAGAGGGAGACTGACAAATCATGAAGTTAATTGCCATCCTTTTCCTTTGTTCCAGGCTGCTAACAAGTTTTGCCCAAGAGAACCAACCACAAGAAATTGACTGCAGGACTTGAAGCTGCCTCACCATGGGCACAGGCGGGTTTGGGATGTTGCATCCCTGCAGGCGTCGGCGGGGGCTTGATGCTGTATCCCTGTGGATGCAGGTCCAGACTCTGACAGGATGGAGAAGGGAGCCAAATATCTGCACCCAGGACCCAGAGAGCAGGGCAGAGGGAGCCCCATCCTTGTGGAATCGGCCATTGTTCAGCTTGCTGTCAAGGGCCTGACAGCCCGGAATCCCATTCACCCACACCAAGGACTCAGACAGGAGGGCGGAGGGAGCCCTGTCCCTCACAGAATCAGCCAAATCAATGTTGTTCTTATATCATGTTTTTGTTCTTCTTATATCATGTTTTTGTTGTTTTTATATCATATGTTTGCATTTGTAATATGATGTTATTGTTTATTTATTAATAAATTTATATATTACTTTCATATACATTTTTCTAATTTTCTTTAATCTCTGACACTTCTATTATAAAGAAAGGGCAAATATTGATATTAAAATATTTCTTCTAATTAAATCCCTTTCATAGGGCACAAACTCATGCACCGGGCCACTAGTTCATTAGTAAAACTGGAACATGGCAATGGATTCAGGCAGTATAATAAATAGAAAAGCATGTGACTTTGAAGAAGGCCCATCTGGGTTCTAATCCCAATCCTATAATTTATTGATTCTAAGATTCTAATAAAGTCATTAAACCTCTTTGGGCCCCATTTAACTTTTGTAAAAAATGGTGATGGTGGCAGCCCATTTCCCTTTTCTCCCTAGAATACATCTAAATGTCATTTCATGAAACCACACAATGATACCCGAAATATTTAATAATATTTAATAACCAAAATGACACCAGTGCTGACCAACAGAGCAGATACAACAGCCAGTCAGAACGGTCGCCAGCGGTAAAAAAAAACCAGGGAGGCTCCAGCCAAATGTCTGCTCTGCAGAATCACATTCCTCCAGAGGTGAGAACAAAGGGTTGGCCATTTAGATAGAGAGTAAAGAAAGGTGAAATCCAAGAAGACTAAAAAAAAAAAAAATGCATAGCTCAATAACTCATAGGAGCATTTCAGTAGTGTTTTCTAATTTATAAAGTACTTTCACAAATATTGCTTGAGTTATTGAAAATAGTACCTGGGGAAAAAACGGGATTGAATGTTCTTAATTCATGTCCATTAAATGCATTTATAATATGCAAACACAGTTGCTGCAGCTGACTAATGGGGTAAGAAACAATCCCTACTCTAGGGAGCTTACATTGTACTAGAGATTTAGACAAGATACCCTTGATTGCTCCTTTTCTAGATTTGTTTTATTACATGATAGCTAAAAAGTGTTTGTTATAGTCAGTAAATTGGGCCTGGGATTAGCACCCAAATCAGCCTCCTCCAAAGTCACATGCTTTCCTCTTTATTATGCCGCCTGTATACACTGGCAAGTCCTGTTTCTGAATCTTCACTTGAAACACCCACCCTGATCAGCCCTGTGCTCCTTTCCAACTCCTCCTGGACCATGCACATCAGTCATCTCCTCCCTCTCCCGCCCTCAGCTTCTCCATCTTTGCGGGTCCCTCTTTCTTCCAAGTCTAAGGACTTACCTAAGTTTTTTTCATTCTTAGTTTCATTTCCTACATCTCCCACCACCCGCTGGCCCTGCCACACACACACTAGAACCTACCTTCTGCCATCATCACACACCTGAAACTGCTTCAGTAAGCCAGGGATTCTTAACCAACCAGCCCTAATATTAGATATAATGTATATGAACGAATTACCATGCTCTGCACATATATTATCTCATTATTCCTTAGAAAACCTCATAAGACATTATGATAGTTCATTTTTCCAGATGAGGCAAGGTAGGCTCAGAAAGGCTATATGACCCTGATTTGCTCAGGATCACATAACAATTAAGTAGCAGAGCTGGATTGGAATCAAGGTTGGGCTTACTGTCAAGCTCAAGTCCCCGCCACTCTGCTACAAGGCCATCATTCAGCTCCCATCAATCCCTCTTTTCCAGGGGCTCTCAGGGAGATTGACATGCCAAGCTAGGTACCCGATCACCAACAACAAAAAAGTCTAACACCTTTTTAGGGGGAAGAGGGAAAGACTTAAATGCAAACATCTAATAGCCCATATCTTTAACCTACCTTTAGACCTCCTCTCCCTGAGTAGTCTAACTTTATCTGAAAGGTCACTTAGGCTTGGTGAAGGAAAGACCCCTATAAAGTTCACCAAACCAGAAACACGAAGGAAGGGCAGGGTTAGGAGGCTTCACTCAAACCATCTCCCTTTAAGTTTCTCCCCTGTCTCCTCCACCCTGGGAACATTTTCCTTTCTACAGCAGATCCAGTAGAGTGGAGGGAGGCTGGCTTGGCCAGAGACCAGAAAGGATACCCATTTTTATTTTCAGACATGCCAATGTCCTGGTGACACTCCCTGCACTCACTATGTCCCTGTGCATGTGCTCTGCAGGAGTGCAAAGAAATTTTATTGAAAGGGGTCTGCTCATGGTTGCATTGTTGTCACATGCAGTGACCTTCATAAATA